TGGGCTCAGCTTTAACTGGGGCCCATCCTTTTCTTCCCTTTTGCAGTTAGGCATGCATTCACAGCAACAGTCCTGGGTCTTTAATAAGAAGCTAGTCTTGCTGTGGACATCAATACTTGGGTGGGGTGGGAGGCTGAGGGGAGAGCAGCCCTGTGGGGAGTAAAAGTGAACTATTTTTAGCCAAATTCAAGTGGAGGCAATTCACTTAAAGAATCCAAAGGCTTCAGCAATATCTCAGATTGACTGTAATGAGTAGTTAGACTGAAATAGCTCCAGGCTCCAGGGGGTAGACCAACCTATTGAGGACCTCTCCTGGAAGATAAAAAGGCACTTTTATAGCTTGCATCATGTAGTGTCAGCCTCTTCCATGCCCCTAGCACAGCGCTCAGCAGGCAGTATTTCTGCTCATCTTACTAATTGGTGGCTAAATACAGACGGAAAAGAAAGGGACACTTATTTCACCAATAAGGAGAAAAGCTTTCTTAGGAAGAAGACAGGCTCGCAGAGAAGAGGAGGGAGTCCTTAAGAAAGTGTATAGGTGACACTTGTGACTTTTAAAAACAACTCTGAGCAGGCAATTTCCACTTAATTTCTTTTCAGAGTAGGAGACAGAGAAGCAGCACGCTAAAGGGGCTACAGTGTCTGCAAGAGATAAAGGAACCAGTTTTAATTTGCCTTCCATTTCTGCTGTTCATGACACCCTGCTGAGACAGACCATAATATTAACGCACAAATTCCCACAAACCCAGTAACATTCTTTCATTAGGTTGTCTTGGGTATTTATAAGATCTCTTTAGCACAACTTATATCATTAAGAGAAAATATAACAGAAAAAGTAAATTATCTCACCTCCAAGAAAGGAAAAAACAGTGGTAACAGAATTGTGGGCTTTTCCCCATATTAATTTTACATTATGATCTTTATTTCCCATTACTTCAAATATCTAGAATATGAACACAAGCTTCCTTTAGTCAAACCAAACACAATGCCTCCATATTATTTAATATTCTTAAAATGTATATGTTAACATTTTAAATAATTTTAAATAAAAGTAGTATCATTTAACTTTTATACAGTTCCTTATACTATAGTTTCAAAGTAATTTATACAGTTAATCACCATTTCTCATAAAATAGCTACATGAATAGCTGGAAGGTGACTTGACAAAATGGAATAAAAATTAAATATAAGAACGGCAGAATTTGAAAAATGGAATAATGAGGTTCAGGACATGCTACCCCAAAATCTGGCATCTTGGCATTTTAAGATGAAGGAATTTGAGAAATGGCAGGTGCAGAAAAGACTTTTGACCTTCCCCTGAAGGCCATCATAAAACCCTCTTAAGAGGTGCCTTCCCAATACCTGGAGGAAAAGAGCATCCCTATCTCCTGAAGACGAGGGACAGAGAGAAATCTGAACAAACAGATGTTGTTTTCCCATTTACTACATTTAGCTTGCCCTTGTTCTATCTCATCTTTCCATGACATTTCACTCTTCATCCAAGCTACCATAGCCCTGGTCAGGTGGCTCAGTTTGTTGGAGTGTTGTTCCATACACCAAAAGGCTGCAGGTTCGATTCCCAGTCAAGGCACACACCTAGGTTGCAGATTTGATCCTGGATTGGGGTGCCTATGGGAAATAACCAATGTTTCTCTGTCGCTCTCTAAAAAAATCAATAAACATATCCTTGGGTGAGGATTAAAAAAAATTTTTTTTTAAAGCTAGCATAAAAATAGGTTTAATTGTTTTTCTGGGTCTTTATTTCCTTATGAAGGATTCCATGTCACATAAAACTTACATTAAATAAATTTCTATGCTTTTCTCTTATTAGTCTGTCTCTTGTTATAGGAGTCTCAACCAAGAACATAAAAAGAAAATATATTTTCCCTCTCTTACAGTAGTATTTTAACTTTCTCTCCATTTAATATTCTCCAAAACAACTTACTAATACAAATGTTTTAATGAGCTACACAGTTTATAAGAGTGATTAAAAGATGAGATAAAATTATGGTTGAAAGAGATCACTTAGATAAAATTATATAGATCAGGATTATTTCCTAGCATAATATTCTATATAACTACACATCTGAAATAATGTTTCTAAGAAACCAGCTAACCATGATAGAGTAACATATTTTTTTTCAATTGTGAGGTCTATTTAAAACACAATTTTATCCCTTTAAAAGAAACCTCTTGGTGATGCAACTGGATATCTAAACTTCTATTATATATAAATACTTAAAAGTCTATTAAAAAAAAAGATTCAAATCAATATCAATTTTAGAAAATGTAACAGATAGAGCCGAATATTGCGTCTGCATCTATCAGCACTCAGTGTCTGAGGAAAGAGTAAATGACATAATCTGAAGAGGTAGCAGATAGAAACTTTCCTTGCTCCAACACTGTCATTAAGATTTTTCCAAAACATGTTTTATTATCCTCAATTTCAAGACATAATCCTCACCAGGGAAAAGCACATTTTTAGTTTTTCAAGCCAAAAGGGCTCAGTACACACAATTTGTCCAATGCTTTGATTGTAACAAAATTAACCTGGTACAATCAGCCTCCCACTCAGGCAGAGCAGCACTGTGGGAGGCCCAAGTGCCTTGTAGGAGCAATGACACTGGTCTTGTCCAACTCCTCCAGAAGCTCACAAGGTAAAAGACAGAGCCCACATTTCCAAGAGCGAAAAGTGGATTTAGGTACGTCTCCACACACACCTTCATGTGGAATCGTGCTCATGGTACCTTCTTATGGGGGAACAAACACTCATACTTCTGGCAGGATGAGAAGAAACGCCACAGGCTGAGTGTTATTGTTTAGCTAAGGGGCTGAGAGTTCACCTGTTTGTTCCAAATATACAAATGCTCCTTTCATGAGTAACTATGAAACAATATTTAAATAAGTGAATATATGCTCAGAGCTTTATAAACCAAATTTAAAATTTGGTTTATAAAAGTACAATTTACCAAGACCTGGAATAAACTTGATGTAAAATTTGAAATGCTAACAAAGTTTTCTTTTTTCTTTTATTTTAACGTATATGCCCTAACCGGGGATCGAACCCACAACCTTGGCACACCGGGACAATGCTCCAACCAAATGAGCTATTCAGTCAGGGCAGGTTATCTTCTTCTTTATTTGTTTTTTAAAAATATATGTTTTAAATGATTTTGAGAGAGGGGTAGGGAGAAAGAGAAACATCAATGTGACACTGATCAGCTGCCCTCTGCATGCCCACTAGGGAGGGATCAAGCCGGAAACCCAGGTATATGCCCTGACCAGGTATAGAACCGGCGATCTCTTGGTGCACAGGACAATGCCCAACCAACTGGGCCACACTGGCCAGGACAATTTTTTTTTTTAAGAAGTAGTAAAAGCACCACATTTTATAAGGTCATAATCAAACCAGGGTTAAGGCAATCAGTTATCATCTAATCCAGGCCAAATATCTACTTTTGCCTAAATTACCTATCTCTTTGATTATCATTGAGGATAAATTTCAGTTTTCAACTTGGCTTGGTTTATGAGTATTGGAGGAATAATACCAGGCCCAAAAGAACCAGGTTTTACACACAAACCAAAAAAGCATTAACCTCCTCTTATAGGAAAGAACACCCCCATGTAATATGACAATTGAACAGTAACAACAAAAATAGTACCCCACCTACTAAGATATATATATATATATATATATATATATATATATATTTTTTTTTATCCTCACTCGAAGACATTTTTCCATTTTTTGTTCAGATAGAGTGGGAGGGGGAGAGAGGAAGAGAGAGAAAAAGGGAAACATCAAGCTGCTGCCACCTGCAGGACCAACCAGGGCCGGGGACAAACTGCAACCGAGGTACGCGCCCTTAGCGGGAACCGAACCCAGGTCTCTCTGGACCGCAGGCCAACGCTCTAACCGCTGAGCCAAACCGGCCAGGGCTATTTTAGTATAAACAGACATAATTAAGATAACTTAAGCTCTTAAACCAAGTATTGAAATTATGACTATAACACAAAATCAGAGGTTCTTATGGAAAGGCCTCAAAAATTCAAGGCCACAGTTGCCAGAAGTTAGGGGTAGAGGATCTGTGGCTAACGCGTAATCTTACAAAGAACCCTTACTAGCAGCATCTTCCTCTTTTCTAACTCAAAATTGATGGCTCTCCTTGACTTCCTTTATGGAAAATAACTTTTTTACTAGTTTAGTTATTTTTCATTGTAGTCCACTGTCTGAGGCTGCAAAATGTGATCATCTTAGAGAAAGACAAGCATTAGGCAATTTCCAACTGACAGCCTCAAACCTCTCAACTTTCCTCCTTCTGTTTCTAGCAGCATGGACTCTCCATGGTGTACTCTTGAGAACACTACTGACCCCTTGTGTCCGAGGCCCTTTCAGCATTATAGTCTTTCCACTGTGCTATCAGCGTGAGCAGGGAGAAGGATTTCAAAAAGAGTTAGGATGCCAAAAGGACATAATCTAGGGGAGCATTTAGAAGAGCTATATTTTAAACCTGTGTTTTTAAGACTTAATGAAAATATTAAATGCTAGATAACCCAGCTTCTAAATCTTTTAATTCCAGGCCAAGACAGACTGGGAGCAATTACAGCTTGTTCAGGGTCTGTGGGAATGCTAGCAGTTTTAATTTACATATTAATGCTGGAAAACATTTTTAGAGGCAAAGATGAGCATTCTTTGGTCTTAATAATGAATAGAACAGGGGAAAAAATGGACAGGAATGTAGTTTAAAAGCTCTAGGCAAATCCTGGCTGGTTTGGCTCAGCGGTTAGAGTGTCGGCCTGCGGTCCAGAGAGACCTGGGTTTGGTTCCCACTAAGGGCACGTACCTCGGTTGCAGTTTGTCCCTGGCCCCTGTTGGGGCCCTGTGGGTGGCAGCCAGTCGATATGTCTCTCTCAAGTCGATGCTTCTCTCTCTCTCTCCCACCCTCTCTCCCTCTCGCTCTATCTGAAGATGAATGCAAAAATGTCCTCAGGTGAGGATAAAAGAAAAAAAAAAGCTCTAGGCAAAATGGTCTGGGTTTATCTTTTTCTGTAATAATTTAAAATTATCCATCATTCACTGTAATAAGATACCACAGCAATGGTGGGTTTTCAGTCTTTTCTTTTGCCCAAGATAACCATTCTTTGGTTGAGTGTTTTCAATAAAAGGTCTAACAATCCATCTGTCCCAACTCCAACTCCTTCTTGGGAACAACTCAATTCTATTTCTTGATTTCTTCCTCTACCACCCACCTAGAATGCTTATCTTACCGCTCACAGGATAAAACAAAACACTGAAACATAGGAATTGTTTTAAATTATTAGATTTCATTAAACAGCTCAGTTGGACACTTGCTCATTGGAATTTACTTCTGCTTCAACTCCACTTCTTTGAAAAATGCAAGAACTATTTTCATTAAAATATTAGCTTGACCCAAGGATGTAAAAAAGTTAGCTGCCTCAGCATGAGTTATTGCAGTCTGAGACCTCCCAAGAGGTCTTAAAAACTAGAAGATTAAATATAGCAAAACATGAACAGGAAACATAGTTTGCAAGTCATTTAATAACTATAGCTGTATAGAATTTTCAAATTATTTTTCTGAATACCAAATTTGTGAAACAAAATATATCATATGGCCCTTGAAAGAACTTTTAGTGGTGGATTAACTCCAATGCAAAACTTCTTTCTGTACTAAGGAAGAGAGGGGAATGCACAGTAATCCTATGTGCTAGGTAGGTCCTATTATCCCCACTGAAAAGAGGAAAATGAGGCTCAAGAAGATGAAGTAATCTATCAAAGGTCACATGGCCATGACTGGCAGTGTCTTGCCAGGCACTGCAACTTGACCTCTTAAAGGAAGATTACTTTTAAAGTGAGTACTAGTCATTACTTACAAAATGAATACATTTATGTGGTTAATTACAAAATATTTCACCTTTGTTGGTCTTATAGAAAGTTTAAGGGAAATCAAAATTAAGGACTCCAAATTCATCTAGGCCCCTATCAAATAAAAAATATTCCTACTTTTCCTCATCCTACTACTGGAGGGGAAGGAGAGAGCTTTCTATGGCTTAAAACAACAACACAGCAATTCCATTCCTAGATAAATGTCCAAAAGAAGTGAAAACAGGTCTTTAAACAAATACTTACACACAAATATTAATAGCAGCATTATGCACAATAGCCAATAAGTGGAAAAAACCCAAATGTTCATCAAGAAGTAAATGGAAAAACACATACGGTATCCATGCAAGGGAATATTTTCACCTGTTAAAAGGAATGAAGTACTGATAGATGCTACATTGTGGCTTAATCTCGAAAATATTATGCTAACTGAAAGAAGCCAGACATAAAAGGTCACATACTGTATGATTCTACTCATATGAAATATCCAGCATAGATAAATCCATAGAGATAAAAAGTAAACTAGTGGTGGCTGCAGGGCTAGAAGGGGATAGGGAGCAACTGCCAATAGGTAATGGGATCTAATTTAGGAGTGAGGAAAATGGTTTGGAACTAGACAGTGGTGGTGATTGCGTAACACTAAATGCCACTGAATTGTACACTTCAAAATGGTGAATTTTATGTTATGTGAATTTCACCTCGGTTAAAACAAAAAATACAGAATCATGAAATAACGATTGACCTAGAATAAGAGCAGGTAATTTGCTTTTTCTTGGTTTGTCACAATTTCAATGAGTTTTTAACCATCATAAACCAATATATAAAAAATTACCCATTTACAGTTCCAAATAAGGCATTAATGTAGCTGAGTTCCCCTAATCTGTCCAGTTGACAGAGCACCTAGTTGAATTTACAGTATATATGAAGCTTTAAAAATGTTTTACATTTGTATAAAGTGCAAAGAAAAAGAATACTGAGAAACACATGAAAGAATATAAAGTAGCCAGAGCCTAGGCAAGAAGCTAACATACATGCATATGGGGAAATCTATACACTTGAGCATACAGAGAGATGGGAACACTCAGAGAGAAACCTGCTTTTCCTCAGAATTTTGTTTCTCCAAAAACTGGCTAGTAAACAGTAATTTGCAGTTACCACCCAGTGGGTTTCAGCAAAGAGGTCACACACAGGGAGGGCCTCTAGCTGCCACTTCCAATTGCTTCCCTGGTGAAACAACACAGGAGGTTAAGTTACTTCAGGAGACTCTCAACAGGGCTCCCATTGTTCCAAGCTCAAAACTCAGAGATACAATAGGCTCCATTCATCAGGAGAGCTTACAGGCTAGGGAATGGTCTCTTAGTGACGTTTTGTTGGGACATCAAATTTTTATAAACACAGACTTGTACAAATATGTGTTAATTATTTTTAAAGACATCACAGAATAAAAAATAAAATTCAGTGGACACTAAGCTGAGATTCTGGACACCCAAATTTTATCCCCAGCTCTCTGATGTGAGTTTAAGCAAGTCACTTGCTGTTTTTGAGACTTGGTTTTCTCACTTGTAAGACAAAATGATTTCTAATATCACTTAGGACTCTAAAATTCTATGAACACATATGAGGTCTGTTAATGTTGCTACACTATTCACTCCAACAAGTGGGGATAAATTATGAGCAAAAATGAACCACTAGTTCACATCTTTTCATTTACTATCAGCACCTAAAAACAAAGAGCCTTAAAAAAAAAAGTCAGGGAAATTATTTTCTATTCTCTTTTAAACAGACAAATCATAATGAATAGGTCTAGTGATGCCCTCATCTCCCCAGTCCAGGATCACTCAAGCAGACAGCCCTACACAAAGCACAATGGTGAAGAGCATAAACAGAAGCCACAAGTATGTTTTTCTGTCTCTTTTTCTTAGGTTATTAATGCACTCCAAAAATCTCTTGATTTCTTTGCAATGACTCAAAATTACCAGCAATGACTCAAAATTACCAGAAGAAAAATGCCATTTACAAAAGGAATGTGATCACTGTCCCAGGTTTCCATACCATGTCATTTTTTGTTTTTTTCAACCTCAAAACTTGCCAAAGCTAGAACTTTGTCTCCAGAGCCTAAAGAGAAAGACATATAAAAGAAAAGGTCATTTAAAATGCATTTACAGTTCCAGATAAAGAGGCAAAACCTATCACATACAGATTAAAATAGAAAATAAAATTATCTTCTATTATCTGCAATTCCCCTAAGCTTTCCCCTTGCCACCCCAATTTCCTTCCTCCTGCACAAACACTCAGCTACATAGGGTCATTTACTGGTTACAAATGAAAATTTAGTTTGTTGCCCAGGCTGGTTTACCTCGGCCATTAGAGCTTTAGCCCTCGGACAAAAGGGTCACAGGTTCGATTCCTGGTCAAGGGCACGTACTTGGATTGCAGGTTTAATCCCTGGCTCCCCATCCAGGTTGTATGGGAGGCAACCAATCAATGTGTCTCTCTCACATTGATGCTTCTTTCTCTCCCCTTCCCTCCCTTCTACTCTATCTAAAAGTCAATGAAAAAATATCCTCAGGTGAGGATTAACAACAACAAAAAATTTAGTTTATTTTTATATTTATGTTTAGATGACAAATATTTTTAAAACACTAGGCTATATTAAATTTTTAAGTTATAAAGTACTGGAAAATAAACTCAATAAAAGGGATTTATAAAGAACACAATTCTAGCCCTGGCTGGTTTGGCTCAGTGGTTAGAGCATCAGCCTGTGGTCCAGAGACCCGGGTTCGGTTCCCGCTAAGGGCATGTACCTCAGTTGCAGTTTGTCCCCGGCCCTGGTTGGCCATGAGTGTGGCAGCCACTAGATGTGTCCCTTTCACGTTGATGTTTCTCTCTCTCACCCTCCCCTCTATCTGAACAAAAAATGGAAAAAAAAATGTCCTCGGGTGAGGATAAAAAAAAAGAACACATTTCTGGTTTTACCTCTAAACTCAAGAAAAGGCCATCATGCTATCTCACCCACGCTATCTGTCTATTGGACAGTAATTCACATCCGACTTTCAGAAATACTATAGTACTCACCAAGGTCTGTAGAGACTTTCTCGAACTGGCTGAGTATAGCACCTGCATTTGCTGACAAAAAGGCTTCATCATCTGCAGTCAGCTAAACAAAACAAAACAAAGTCCAGTGGAACGGGTCCAAATCTTACTTTTTTCTTTTCCGTATGTGTGTTGTTAGGCTCAAGAGCCTCTTCCATCCTTGTCAAGGGGAGTGCTAACCTTCTCTCCTTTCATACAACATAGGGTCTAAATCTTAACAAGCAGTTCTAGAAACCACTGTTAAAAATGTTTCAGGACCACAAACTAGATCACAGATCGGTAAGTTCTGCACCAAATACTTTACACTTTTTCTTTATGACTCATACTATATTATATTAAATTAAATACAGGTACCTTCTCTCCAAGTTTCCTGAGAGCTGTTAGAATCTCCACTTTCTGTTGAGTGTACAGGTCTCTTTCCAGCTTTCCTACCATGAGGTCTCTATCCATCTATAATGGATAAATACCAAGCATATGGTATTTCAGTTAAAACATTCTATGCATAAAATCCAACTTTTCAGGTCTACTTCTTTAAAAAAGATCCTCTAACTGATTATTATAAAGAACTATAGAAACAATTCAAGACAAACATGATGGAAATGCTATTACACATTTCTAATAAATCTTAAGATTAGCCCTGGCCAGTTTGGCTCAGCGGTTAGAGCATCGGCCTGCGGTCCAGAGAGACCCAGGTTCGGTTCCCGCTAAGGGCATGTACCTTGGTTGCAGTTTGTCCCCGGCCCTGGTTGGATCGTGCAGGTGGCAACCACTCGATGTGTCCCTTTCACGTCGATGTTTCTTTCTCTCCCTCTCCCTCCCACTCTATCTGAACAAAATATGGGAAAAAAAATCTTAAGATTAATCATAACCATTGTTTTGTTATAAACTCTATTTAGAAGTAGAGTTTAGGAATTAGGAATTAGTAAGTCAATAGCTTCCTTTAGAGAGGAGCCATCTTCTAAGAACTTATATCATTAAACTAAAGTGTGGTCTATAGGTTTGAATGAGATAACTGGTATCAGGTCTCCTGGAACTTGGGTTAAATATTGCCTTTGCATGTCTGGCCGGTGTGGGTCAGTGGACTGAGTGTCATTCCATGAACTAGGGGTCCCAGTTCAATTCCCAGTCAGGGCACATGCCCAGGTTTCGGGCTCGATCCCCAGTAGGGGCATGCAGGAAGCAGCTGATTGATGTTTCTATCTCTCTCCCTCCCTTCCTCTCTCTCTAAAATATCAATTAAAAAAAAAATATTGCCTTGGCCACCAGAAACACTGACAGTATATACTATGCATTGGTACAATTCAATGGGCTTTATATATGTTACATATTACACATTAATATGTGCTCTACACATATTACTTCATTTAATCCTCATAACAACCACAAGAGGCAGAAACTATCAACATCACCTTTTTATAGGTGGGGAAATTGAGGCACAAGAGTTTGAACAAAATAACTTCTCCAAGGTCACATACCTCCATATGGAACAGGAATACAAATCCAGCCAGTCTGACTTAAGTCCATGATTTTAACCACTAGCTACTGAATAATCAGTGGTTGCAAATAACTGTTAATGCCTTAAATACTATATTCAAGTCCTTAAAAAGACTTCTTCAGCCCTGGCCGGTTTGGCTCAGTGGTTGGAGCGTCGGCCTGCGGTACAGAGAGACCTGGGTTCGGTTCCCGCCAAGGGCATGTACCTCGGTTGCAGTTTGTCCCTGGCCCTGGTTGGTCGTGCGGGTGGCAGCCACTCGATGTGTCCCTTCACATCGATGTTTCTCTCTCTCTATCTTCCTCTCTCTCCCTCCCGCTCTATCTGAACAAAAAATGGAAAAATGTCCTTGGGTGAGGATTAAAAAAAAAAAAGACTTCTTCAACTATGAGGTTTAAAAAGATATTTGGAATTCTTAGGTGAGAAAGGCCACACACGCATAAAGCAATGCTGTTAATGAATTCTAGGTGGGATTTCAACTCGGGGCCTCCAGAAGTACATAGTAAATCCTTACAGGTGGAGTTCAAGTAAAAGCAGCAGTTGCAATTTAAACTGCCATTTGCTGTTTAACCTTCCATAATCATTATCAACAATAATTGCCAAAGAACTAATTTTGACTAATTAAAAAAAAGACTATTTTTTCGAGCAGTTTTAGGTTCACAGTAAATTGAGCAAAAGGTACTGAGATTTTCCATTTACCCCATGGCCCCACTCATGTACAGCCTCTACATTATAAACATCCCCCACCAGAGTCATACATTTGATGCAATTGATGAACCTATATTGATACATCTTAATCACCCAAAGTCCACAGTTTACTAGGGTTCACTCTTGGTGTATATTCTCATTTGACCAATTTTTAAACTTCAGAATAACATAATGAACAAATTCTTAGGCTAAGGAAAAAAAATTACACATAGCAATTGGATCAATGTAAAGAAACTTTACCTCCGCTAACCTTGTCCGAAGCTGACCTGGTTGCTTCTTTGCAAATAATCTGATGACCTCTGGGGTTTTAAAGGCCTGGCTGATAGCTGCTTGGATAGCCTTGAAATACAAGAAATAACCAAAATATTCCAATGAATCACATATTGCAATAATTGATTGACAGGCCTTCAATCATTAATAGGTTTTCTTTATTTATCAAATACTGTTATAATTTTAGTTTTCATGTGCTATTTATGTGCATGTCACCGGAGTCAAATACATAACTACGTAAAGATCTAGAAGCAGATGCTGTTTTATCCACAAGTAGATACTCATCTAGAACTTAAACGCAAAAAAGTATACATTTTCTATCTTAAATATACTTACACACAAAAAAAGTCACCAATATAAGTAAATTATGCTTACCAATTGCATTCCACTTAGTTCATCTACCAAAGTCATATTTCCGGACATAATTTTTTTCAGTGAATCATTAAATTCACTTAGTTGCTCCAGAGTTTCCTTTTTGGTTTCTTCATATTCATCTGTATCAAGTTCCTCTCTGAACAATAGTGAACATAATATAGAAAATACAGGGTTCCAAGTGAAAATAGCAATGTTAGTATCTGTACACTAAGACTTCAGATACATATAGGTATTTACAAAAAATATCTTAGGGGGAAAAGGCTGAAAGGAAATATCAAAATACTCATGATGGAGACATTCAGATATTAAATATATGGGCATTTTTCTGCAATGTGGTTACTTTGATAATTAAACATTTTTCTTTTATCAAAATGAGGGACACTTAAACCACATAATAACTTAACTTCCTTTTAAGCGTCTATAAATCAATAGTATAACCTTGGGCAAGATACTTAACACAGCCAAGCCTCAATTTCTTTATAAACTGAAGATAATGATAGTACCCTCTTTATAGGGTTGCTGGGAGCATTAAGTGAAATATGGAAAGTGCTTGGCATGTAATAGGTACTAGATAAATAGCTGTTATTATTATCATTAAAGGTAGGTAAAATTCTGTGCACCTTGAAATACAACAGCAATGCAGTACTTTCCATCTGAGTAAGAGGCTATTTTTATTCACCAAATAAAGCATTTATTAAACATTTACTACAAACAACAACAGCTAGCATTTATCAAGCACCTACTCCATGCCAAGCATTTTGTTGGCCCCTTCATCTGTAATATTTACCAAGGTTGAACAGTTGTGGTCCTGTAAGTAGCAAAGGCTAAAAACACACCAGAAGTTCAAGTAGTACCTTTTCAGCTTGATACTAAGCAGGGCTATTTAAATACTGAAGACAAGATAGGTATTATTATTTCCACTTCACATATAAGGAAATGGAAATTTAAGTATTTTGCCCAAACTCACACTCACTTTGTAATTAAATGAAAGACTTTCACATCCCAGCCTTTAAGACCCCAAAGCCTGCACCGTGTTTATTTCTCCAAAAGACAGCACATTATGAAGAATACTACAGGGGCCCAGCTGGTGTGGCTCAGTGGTTGAGTGCTGACCCATGCACCAAGAGGTCGTCAGTTTGATTCCTGGTCAGGGCACATGCTCAAGTTGTGGGCCCAACCCCCAGTGGGGGACATGAAGCAGGCAGCCAACTGATGTTCTCTCTCATCGATGTTTCTCTCTCTCTAAAAATCAATAAAGAAAAAAAAATTAAATTAAAAAAAAAAGAACACTACAGGGGAAATCAAAACCACACATGGGACTGAACCCATGGAGTTTATAATCGAGCTGCAGAAAAAAGCCATTTTACAGCATAACAGTATACAATTATACTATTACCTGCATTCCTCCAGATCTTGTAATTGCTGCATTAGTCTATCCAACTGCTCTTCTAAGTTCTGCTTTAATTTGCTTGTCTCTGTCTTTCCTCTGGAAGCCATTTTAATCTCTAAGTAGAACAATAAACCCACATATAGTATATATTTGGTTATTTGAAAGGATTCAACATACCAGGAAAATTTTAAATAGGTTATACTCCTTCTGAGCTATGGGTGTGGGAAAGATAGTTGTGCAAAGAAGCCTACAATTTATATATAAAAGTTAAAACTCATGTAGTAATAACACCCCACAAAAATGCCTGGCAGTCTTCTTAATTGACAAATTAATTAGAAGTCTTCACTAGTGATCTATCTTACTTTAAACAAATTTGATAGATGAAAATACAGATTTATAAGGAAATAGATCAGTTATGAATACAGATCCATTATAATTAATTATAATATTCTTTTTCATTCTTATTATGTTCCAGGACTTAGAACACTCCTAGTATTATCTTGCTGGTCTTATGTGCATTTATCTAATACCCTTACTAATTTATATAACACAGATATCAAGACTATAATTATGTTGCAAATATTTTCTCTTGTCTCCCGACTTTAAATTCTACTTATTTCTGTCACAATAAATTATTATTTTTAATGGTCAAACCTATATTCTCCTTAAGTCTTCTTAGTCTGTGCCCCATAAAAATAGGCTCTAACCATCAAGATTTTAAAATATATACTATTTTGTATTCTAAAACTTTTATATTTATTAAAATTTTTTAGAAATTGACTTTAAGAGAAAGGAAGGAAGAGGGAGAGAGAGAAACACTGATGTGACAGAGAAACATTGATTGGTTACCTCTTGCAGGCACCCCTACCGGGGATCAAGCCCACAACATGGGCATGTGCCTTGACCAGGAACTGAACCAGGGACCTTTCAGTGCACTGGATGTTCAACCAACTGAGCCACATTGGCAGGGTCTTGGTCTCTGTCTCTGTCTCTCTCTCTTGTGTGTGTGTATAATTTTTCCCCCATTTAGCTCTTTAACCCACCTGCATCTTTTTTTTGTTAATGCTGTGAAGTAAGGGTCTTTTATTTTCTTTCAAATGGATAGTCAATTGCCCCAACACTGTTTACTAGTCAGTATTCATTTATGCCACCTTTAATATACTCAATAGTAAAATTCAAGTCTGTTTCACTGATAATATTCTGGGCCTAAGGCATTACCATGCAATTTTAATTATTAAGCTTTAGAGCTGGTGTATACTGATAACTGATAAGAAGTTGCTTTTATTACTGTGGGTTTTTCCACCCAGTAATTCTTGGCTATCCGTGTGTATTTATTCTAGATGGATTAAGAATCAGTCCGTCAAGTTTCCTTAAAAATTCAATTAAGCCCTAGCTGGTTTGGCTCAGCGGTTAGAGCATCAGCCCTTGGACCAAACAGTTGCGGGTTTGATTCTGGTCAAGGGCATGTACCTCGGTTGCAATTTGTCCCCGTCGTCCCCAGCCCTGGTTGGGGTCGTGCAGGAGGCAGCCTCTCGATGTGTCCCTTTCATGTTGATGTTTCTCTCTCTCTCTTCCCCTCTCTCCCAGTCTATCTGAACAACAACAACAACAACAAAAAAATAGAAAAATATCCTTGGGTGAGGATAAAAAAAAGAAATTATATAAATTGAATTAATCCATTCCAGACTCCCAAATGATTCCGTTTTAACCTCTCAATTGCCTGTGATCGTTGTTTCATGAGCACTTTCACACCCTTAACAACATCAACACTCTTTTTTTTTTTTTTCCCCAATCCTCACCCGAGGACATTTTTCCATTTTTGGTTCAGATAGAATAGGAGGGAGAGAGAAACATCAACGTGAAAGGGACACATAGAGTGGCTGCCACCCACAAACCCAACCAGGGCCAGGGACAAACTGCAACCGAGGTATGTGCACTTAGCGGAAACCAAACCCGGGTCTCTCTGGACCACAGGCTGATGCTCTAACCGCTGAGCCAAACCGGCCAGGGCAACATCAACACTCTTCATGGCTTCTTTATGTTTTAAAAATGTGTTATTCGTCGATTCCGTCATGCCATACTCAGTAGCCAGATCAGACACATGAACACCTCTGTCATACTTTGCAATTATTTATTTTTAAAGCTCTATTGTTCTCACAACTTTCCTTTTCACTTGCTACTATTACTAACCTTCTTAGGACACATGGTGACTTACTATACGTATTTAATAATAATAAGCAGCAATAAAAGCAAAAAAAAAAAACACTAAAGTATTCCCAGCACAATTTATTGAGATGTTAACAATTTGAGGTTTAGTGGTAACCTGACTCATATTCTCACATTCACTCCCTTGTTTGTCACCTGAGAGATGTGTGACTGATCATACAGGTATCAGTATGAAAGGGTTGTTGGTTCAGAACTGAAGTTCTGTTCGACAACCAAGACGTTTTTTCCATGAACAACTTGGTCAAGAATTGAATTTTTCGAGATGGGAGATGTTTGAGAATCAAAGTTTAACTGTACATTAAAATTAGAGACTAATATGGAGAAAACCTATATCCTTGAAATTTAAAATCTTCCTACTAAGCAATATCTATTTATCTAGGCTTCTTTTTATGATTTTTAAAAAGAAAAATTTTTTTTCCCACAAAGGCCTTGAACATTGGCTATTTTTAGGTATTTTGTTTTTTTTGTTGTTGTTAATATTGGGAATGAGGCTTTCATTATTATAATTTCTGATTAATGCTGGTGTAGAGAAAAGCTGCTGATTTTGATGTTGATATTATATGTATTTACCTTAACATTTGTAGCACTTAAATTTTTCCATTTATAAAAATTGAACTTGCCCTGGCTGGTTCGGCTCAGTGGTTATAGAGCGTCGGCCTGAGGACTGAAGGGTCTTTGGTTCAATTCCCAGGCAAGGGCACATACCTGGACTGCAGGTTTGATCCCCAGCCCTGGTCAGAGCTGTTTGGGAGGCAACCAATAGATGTGTTTCTCAGAGGGATGTTTCTCTCTCTCTCCCTTCCTCCCTCCCACTCTATCTTAAAAAAATAAAATAAAATGGCTTAAGTCATCTACAGTCATTAATAACATATAAATATAAATGAGTATAGCCAGAGTGTAATTTATTATAGTTATATTTCAAGTATAATGGTTTAGCCAAAAGTGTTAATTTATTATAGCTATGCCTCATGTACAAATTCTCCCAGGAATACACATTTAAATTTTATTTTATTCTGTTGAATTTCCCAGTAAAATTCAAGGCAAACCCAAGATAAAACTGAAAGTGTCTTTTCAGAATTAATTTCCTATAGTCTAACCACACTGGACTATTTTCTATTTCAAAACATGCCCTCCAGTCGGTGTGGTTCAGTGGTTGAGCGTCGACCCATGCACCAAGAGGTCGTCAGTTCGATTCCCAGTCAAGGCACATGCCCAGGTTGTAGGCCCACTCCTCAGTAGGGGTCATGCAGGAGGCGGCCAATTGATGTTCTCTTTCATCAATGTTTCTATCTCCCTCTCCCTCTCACGTCCTCTCTCTCTAAAATCAATAAAGGAAAAACATGCCATGAACTTTCATCTTTCTCTTGTGAGGCTGCATTTTTTTCTGCCTTTCAAGTCCGGGTCATTCGGTCTTCAGGGTCTAGCTCAAGTTTCACCTCTTCTATAATGCCTTCCTTGGTTCCTCCCCAATCACTAGATTGTGTTATTTGAGAGTAGGGATTTTGCTTTCTCTTTATACACCAGTATTTAGCACAACATGGGGCAGACAGAAAGTACTGAATAAATAATTAGTAAATGAATAATGAGAAGAGACTGCTTCTTCCACTGTATTCCACATCTTATTCTCTATTTAACATTTATTTCTTCCTTGAATTCTATTAGTTCATTATAGCACGATTTTTGTCTGTCTTCCTCTCCAGACTGTAAACGCTCTAAAAGCAGAAAATGAGTCTGATTCCGCTTAACCTCGATATTCGATAACTGGATGACGTGTATAAAGGCACAACATAGTTTAAGGAGGTAAAGCTATTCTAAATACATTTCAGGAAAGCTGGAGGCACTTTAAAAGCCTTTTAACCTAGTTCTACATTCTTTGAAATTTATCCCAGAAAGATTAACTCGCTGGCACCACCTAGTATTCAATAAAGGTGGTGCATCTTTCACCGAAACTGCAGAAAATCTAATCTGGGGAGGAAAGCACTCCATTCATGCTCACCTGTCTCTTATTACTCTGAACTCCGCACAGCGCTGACGGGTCTCAAACTGCATAAACCTCCAATTCTTGAAGATCCAGTTTCATAAGCTTGAGGACAGCGAAACCGCTCATCAGAATGACAAAGGCTCCAAGTCCAAACCACGTTGGGGTGGAGCTGCCTGGAGAAAGAAAAACCCTTAACAAGCAGTTTTTATTCACTATATGTATATAACCTTGGCTTAAAACAGTCCAGATAACTTCCGCTCGAGCAGCCTGCAACTGAAACACACCCCTCTCTTTCTACAAAGACATCATGGGCAGCCTTTCCGAGATTTTTCCTAGTGGGGGTGTTTCCGAGGGAAAGCCCGCACCCGGACACGCCTTGAGCGAAGTGGTCAAAAGCAGAAGAGCACAGAAAAAATGAGTGGAGAGCACACCTTTTCCGGTTTCCCAGCTGGAAGGGAGCAGCGTCTGGACCTCAACCATCCGGGCACTGCCGGGGAGCAGCTCCAGCCACGGCCCCAGACCCTACCTCCTCGGAGGAACTTGAAGCTCCCGCACTTGGGTCCCGCTGCGGCCGGGCTCGACTAGGCCCTAGTTGCTTCCAGAGGCCGCCGTGAGCCCGCCACCCCCGAAACTTTTCCGGCCCTCCCCGATTAGAACCCGAAAACCTCCTCAGAATTTCGGGGTTCCCTCCCAGTCTGTCTCCTTGCCCCCGGAGTTCCGAGCCAGGGGCCCCGCCTACCTGGTAGTCCCGGGCTGGCGGACGCGCGCCGGGGAAGCACTTCCGTCGAACGTACGCACTTCCGGCCTCCTGGACCAATAAGGGCGAGGCCGCGGGTGTTCCCCTCGCTGGCGTCCGGGCTGCGGATCGTCTGTCAGCGGACTCGGGCCGGGTGACCCTGAGGAAGCGGTAAGTCTTCAACCCGAGCTCCTGAGAAACCCCTATCTAGGGGAGTCAGCTCAGCACCCTTTTTTTTCGCAAGCGTAGGGTAGTCTAAGGTGGTGGGTGTCTTTGAGGGTCAAATGCAACGGTTGCCGAGGCAAGGTCATATTCAGGTTTGGGTAGGGGAGTCTTCCCCGTTCATTCTTTCCATCTTCAACTGTGGAAGTGAATTTACCCTGAAAAAATGGCGGGGGGGGGGAAGGGGGGTTCCTCTAGAAGCGGCTCTGTGAGCTGGGGGGAGGGGGGGAGAGGCAGAGGAGGAAGTTCTCCATTCTGAATGACTTTTTGCTCCGAAATCTTTTCCAAATCTATGAAAGACTAGATCCACCTTCCTGGAAACGGTTTGACACTCACACCCCTTGAGGAGACTACTAACTGTTGGGCAGCACTTTAAAAATTACTCCGAAATTAGGTGAAAACCATTTTCGGGGATTCCCAGCCCATCTCCTCGAAGCGTTCATAGCGTTTCCGACAAAATTGTTTGCGACGCTATCTTTAAAGTTAATTCTTTATCAGGCGCCCAGAACAAACTTCCAATCGAAATGAACAGAGAACTCGACCAGAATGAGTTATTTCTGTCAGTTCTGTCTGATGGTAGAATTCCTTAGGTATTACCAGACATTGTTTTTCAGTTTCATTTTGGATGTGAAACCACTGTTCTAGCCCAACTTTGAAAAAAGTTGATGGGGAGGTATAGTACAGCATAGAGAATATAGTTAATACTATTGTTAATAACTAGGTATGGTGCCAAGTGGTTACTAGACTTATTGGGGGGGGGGTCACATGAAAAGTAATTGAAATGTCTAACCACTAGGAAAAAATCTCAGAAAAATTCACTCCCACCCCCACCCCCATGATGTCTTGGTAGAAAGAGAGGTGTGTGGTTTTGTTTGTTTTGTTTTTAATCCTCACCCGAGGACATTTTTCCATTTTTTGTTCAGATAGAGTGGGAGGAAGAGAGAGAGAGAAACATCTACGTGAAAGGGACACATCGAGTGGCTGCCACCCACACGACAAACCAGGGTCAGGGACAAACTGCAACCAAGGTACACGCCCTTAGCGGGAACCGAACCCGGGTCTCTCTGGACTGCAGGCCGACGCTCTAACCACTGACCTAAACCGGCCAGGGCAAGGAATTATTTCTAAAGTACACTAGTTCATTACTCTCTGTTTAAACCCTCTAACACTCCTGTTCCCTATAGTATAAAATCCAAACTACGTATATCCTATCTAAGAGTGGGGAGACCTTAAACACCATGTTCCAGTTGTTTCACGTTAACTTTTTTGGTTTGTTAATCCTCACCCAAGGATATTTTTTCCTTAATTTTTAGAGAGTGGAAGGGGGGCAGGAGAGAGAGAGAGAGAGAGAGAGAGAAACATCAATGTGAAAGAGATACATCAATTGGTTGCCTCCCACATGACCCTGACTGGAGCTGGGGATTGAACCTGCAACCCAGGCACATGCTCTTGACCAGGAATCAAGTCCATGACCCTTTGGTCCTTGGATGGATGCTCCAACTGATGAGCCAAACTGACCAGGGCCATATCTATATCTATATATGTGTGTATGTGTGTGTGTGTATTTAAAAATTTTCCCTTTATTGATTTGAGAGAGAGAGGAAGTGAGAGGGAGAGAGAGATGGAAACATCGATGAGAGAGAACACTGATAGGCCTCCTCCTGCACACCCCCCACTGGGGATCGGGCTCACAACCTGGGCATGTGCCCTGACCGGAAATCAAACAGCGACCTCTTGGTGCATGGGTCGACACTCAACCACTGAGCCACACAGGCCAGGCCATTAGTCTTCAATATATATTTTCTTCTGATATTAAAAATATAGATATGGGTCCGGCCGGTGTGGTTGTGGGCCAAATCCCCAATAGGGAGCATGTAGGAGGCGGACAACTGATGTTCTCTTTCATCAATGTTTCTATCTCTCTCTCCCTCTCCCTTTCTCTCTCTCTAAAAATCAATAAAGAAAAAATTTTTTTGTTTTAAAAAGAAGACTAATGGTATATTATATACAGCCAAGCTTTCAGATTAAGATGAGCATTTAGAAAATCAATATTCAATTGAATTCAATTAGTAATTAGAAGTTTTTCACTTCTAGGGCTTAGCAACTGTGGAAAAAGTAGTGTGAAGACTAATTTTAAATTTCAGTCTTTAAAAATTGTAAATAGCAGCAGATGTCAACCATCAAGTACTTTTTTTTTTATAGTATATTTAATGAATTTAGTGCTTGATGTTTTTAGTTTCTCAAACTTCCCTTGACATTTTCTCCCAGAAAGCCGCTCATATGAACACATACCCAACACCTTGCTTATAACTTTATTTTGAGGGGGTTAATTTTTTTCTTTTTTCTAATACTCACCTGAGGAAGAGGGAGAGAGAGAGAGAAACATTGACATGAGAGACATCGATCAGTTACCTCCACAGGCACCCCCACTGAGGATAGAACCCATAACCTGGGCATGTGCCCTGACCAGAATCAAACCCGAAACCTTTTCTTGGTGTATGGCATGATGTTCCAACCAATTGAGCCATGCAGCCAGGGCCCTGCTGCATTTTTGAAGAAGCAATAAATTGACCTTGTTCAAATACGCAGTGTGAATCATTCTTCTTTCAAAATGAAACCATTGGCCCTGGCCAGGCGCTCAGTGGTTAGAGCTTCGGCCTGCGGACCAATGAGTCACGGGTTTAATTCTGGCCAAGGGCACGTACCTCTGTTGCCATTCATTGCCAGCCCTTGTTGGGTCATGCAGGAGGCAACCAGTCAGTCCATGTGTCTCTCTCACATTGATGTGTCTCTTCCCCTCCCACTCTATCTGCTGATAAATAGAAAAATATCCTCAGGTGAGGATTAAAAAAATAAAATGAAACCATTGTTCGTTACTAAGATTTATATTTTCCTTCTTCCTTTCCAATACTTATTTCTATAGCAACCATCCAGTTGATGCTACTAACTTCATTGAAACTAAAAAGGAGGTTCAGAAAGTCAAAGTAATTAATGATCTTGAAAGTACTTAATAGGAGATCCTTATTTGGGGTGAATTTGGTTGAGATGTCAGTCCTGTGACATTGGTTGAACTCTTTCTTTTTATCCGTTGGCAGTGCTCGTGAGTACTTAAGGACAGCGTTCTTCCAAATGAGTGGTTTTGATGTGCCTCCTGCTGTAGCTCTGATGTTCAGCTGCCTGTCTCATCTCAGAGTCATAGGGTAGGAGGTGGTCATGTGCTTCCTGGCAGGGGGCAGGTGCAGTGCTGCTGGGGCAGGCTCAATCTGCTCGAGGCATATGTCTGAGGCAGGGGACCTGCAGGGCTCCACTGCCAGCTTCAGACTGTCAGTTTAGCATCCGGGCTAGCACAGGTCACGCTGGCCAGCCAGAGCAGCCCCAGGCCTGAGAAAAGCACTGCAGGATGAAGAATGGGAATTAATGAAGTGGAGTGGAAGTAACATGAGAAGGGTGGCTCTTTTTTAAAAAAAATTTTTTTTCTTCATTGATTTTAGAGAGAGGACGGGAGACGGGGAGAGAGACAGAAACATCGATGAGAGAGAACATCGACTGGCTGCCACCTGCACGCCCCCTACTGGGAATCAGGCTCACAACCTGGGCTTGTGCCCTGATTGGGAATGAACCAGTGACCTGTTGGTGCATGGGTCGAAGCTCAGCCACTGAGCCACACCGGCCAGGCAGAAGGGTGGCTTTTTATACCTCATTCTGACCCTCTCTGCTTTTTCCTCTTGCTTTTCAGACTTCCTTCACTTCCTGGGCTTCCCTTTGCCATGTAACAGTCCTAGCTGAACAGTTACTTCCCTTGAAGGACTGATGAGCCTCCGACAAAGATAGTAACTTGGGACGTTTCTTGCTTACCTGTAGAAACCAGGCTGCTCACTGACAGCAGCACAGACAAGTAGTAAAGTTCAGGAGTCGTTTTTTCCTATAGTTGGGAGGGAAAAAGACACTGTGAGGAATACTTGTCTTTTAATTGGAATGTATGTTTAACACCTTTTTGCCACCAGGATTTAGACAGAGGCACCCATTTAACAAGAAATGGAGGGCTTGCTGCCTCAGTGCCAGGCCTCATCCAACAGTTCCACTCTTGATCAACAGCTTAACTTTTTTTTTTAATTCTAGCAAAGGGAATTTACACGCAAAAGGAAAAACCTCTCATGAAATTTTTTGAACTTTCCCTAGTGAAATGTTCAATTGTGACACATGTCTAATTAGGAATTCTATCTCTACATACCTGCTTTTAGTGTGAGTAGAAAATAAGTATTAAAGACTAATGGTGTATTATATATAGCCAAGCCTTCAGATTAAGATGAACCTTTGAAATTCAATATTTGTTATTATTATTATTATTTTTTTTAATCCTCACTCGATATTTTTCCATTTATCTTCAGATTGAATGGGAGGGAGGGAGAGAGGAAGAGAGAGAGAGAGAGAAACATTGATGTGAGAGAGACACATCAATTGGTTGCCTCCTGCACGACCCCAACCAGGGCCAGAGACAAACTGCAACCAAGGTACATGCCCTTGGCCGGGATCAAACCCAGGACTCTGATCCAAGGGCCGACATTCTAACTGCTAAGCCAAACTGGCCAGGGCCAGAAATTCAATATTTAAAAACATTCACAGTCAACAAAAAATGGGAAAATGTCCTCGGGTGAGGATAGAAAAAATAAATAAATAAAATAAAATAAAAACATACACAGTTAGTTGCCAATACTGTTAACATCATGGTGCAGATTCCTTCCCCGAAGGATCCCACACCAAATACAGAAAACATCCTCTTTAGTGCCTGTGGGACCGGTTCCATGTGAGTAAGCAGCACAGTGAAACCTAAAAGGACAGCAGGACAGCGTCAGTTTCCTAGGATTAGTCATCTCAGAAATATGTTCCTGCCCGGCTGCTATGGCTCAGTGGTTGAGCATTGACCCATATACCAAGAGGTCACCGGTTCAATTCCCGGTCAGGGCACATGCCCAGGTTGTGGGTCAAATCCCCAGTGGGGTATGTAGGAGACGGCCAGTCGCTGTTTTTCTCGCTCATTGATGTTTCTATCTCTCTCTCCCTCTCCCTTCCTCTCTCTCTAAAATCAGTAAAGAAAAATAATTTTTAAAAAGAAATATATTCCTGAATGCAAACCCAAATAAAATGTTTCCTTGCTTCCCTCCTGTGGAGCAGAAACACTCAAAATCTAGCCAGGCTAAGGTTTTCCTTTGATAGGTCATATTCTTTTTTTTTTTATCCTCACACAAGGATATTTTTTGATATTTTGTCCAAATAGAGTGGGAGAAAGAGGGAGAGAGAGAAACATCGATGTGAAAGGGATGCATCAAGTGATTGCCACCCGCACGACCCAACCAGGGTCGGGGACAAACTGCAACCGAGGTACGTGCCCTTAGCGGGAACTGAACCCAGTTCTCTCTGGACTGCAGGCCAACACTCTAACCACTAAGCCAAACCGGCCAAGGCAAGAGATTTTAAAATTGTCCTTCACCTGAATTTTGGTGCACGGGACAATGCCCAACCCACTGAGCCACACCAGCCAGGGCTTCACCTGGATTTTAAATGTGAATTTTTTTCTACGTTTCAGTTTGTGAGCTCCTGAAAACAGGAAGTCCTATCTTATCCATTTAGTAGACATTTAATTAGTGCTGGACAGAGTGCACACTTACCAATTGAGAAGAAAGTAAAGATGATATTACCAACCAAGTTGTTAAGGAGAGGTTGACTGCAGTACCGAGAAGAACTGGGCCTAAAAAATCAATCCACTGGGTTATACATTCATTTATTACTTATTAGAAGAGACCCGCCGTAAGCATAACACCAGAATGCACTGCGACCTTGAATTCTAATCCTGACCTGGCTCTAAATTCATTGGCTCCAGACAACTCACTTCTCTTAAGAACCTTGCTTGGTTCCTTTAGCATGGCTGCAAATTAATACTGTAAAAGCCCACCAGTAATACTAAGAGATATTAATATTCATAATCAGTGGACAAATAAGGTTTTCTATTTTTCTAATTCATGTTTCTTTGCTATTTTGGTGAAAAATATTTTGTGGCAATTCTGGCCTTCTGGAGTAAGGAAATAGGCTTTACTGCCCACAAATCTGTGTAACAGAAGCCAGCAGGTTTGAAGTCAGCCAATTACAGCGAGTGTCAATTACAGCGAGTGTTGCAGTTCCTTTTCCTTCTTCATCATGTGAGTGGATTATCAGTTTTCAGATACTTTTAGAATATCAGTGTTCTTAGAACTGCAAGTTTCTTATTTTGAATGTACCAATTGCATTTACTTCATTTGTCCAATAAGAAAGTTAACTGGTTGACTTTTTCTGCCAAGACTGATTTCTAGCGTAGAATCTGAAATAACATATCAAGTCATAATCTGGTCTAGTGTTCCTGTGTCGCCCTCAGCCCTGCAGACATTAGCTAATACCAGCCTATTGGGACTGCTCTTTAGGGAATACTTAAATCGAAACATTGGTGCCCTCATTGTCTCTTCTTATACTAGAAGAAATAAGTATTGGGTACAAACTAAACTCAGTCTGCCCAAATCCAGTTATTCTCACTGTATTGAGATTTTTGACTTTTCAAAGAGGTGAAGCAGGTGACTTATGTTTGATAATAGAGGGAAACACAATGGGGCAGGCTGCAATTAAACACCTAACAAGAACTGCAGAGAACACCCAAACCACCTCCACAGGTAAGACATGGACATGCGGAGCTGCTAGGAGGGTTGGGTGATGAAGAACTTACCTTAGCAGGACATAAAACTGGAGAGCCAGAGTGGTGATCCCAAACAAGAACACTGTCACTTGGCTGCATGGGACACAGTGAGTTACATTTTGCATTACTGTTTGTCGATGGAATGGCTTCAAGAAACCAAAGTCAGGTTCTGTTTCAGGATAAGGTAACATTAAACCACAGAGATAAAGTTTTAAACATAGCAAAGATGAATTGAGATCCATCCCATTAGAGCTAAATTATGTCTAAGAATACTCCAATAAGAATATTAAAAGTAGCTACTGTTTATTCAGCTTCTACTATCACACAGACACTGTTCATGCTAGTCTCTAAGGGCTCTTCAGAACCTGGGTTCTTTGATCATGACTAAATCAATGCTGTAAGTCCATCCAAAAATAATAGCTTGAGTTTATTAACATTTATAATTAGTAGACAAATGTGTCAAACATTATTTTATCCTCACCTGAGGATATACATATTGATTTTTAGAAAGAAAGGAAGGGACAGAGAGAAAGAGAGAAACATAGACCAGTTACCTTCCATACGCACCCCGACGGGATTGAATCTGCAGCCTAGACACGTGCCCTGACCAGGAATGGAACCCGCAATCTTTTGGTGTGCAGGATGATGCTCCAACCAACTGAGCCACCTGGCCAGGGCTGTGTCCAACATTTTATATGCATTTTTCTCATTTAAGCACAAATCCTAGAAGGTAGGGACTGCAGTTTCCCATTTTATAGATGGGGAAACCGAGACTCAGATGAAGTTTCTTGTCCAAGGACAAACATCTCGTAGTAAGAGGCAAAGCTAGAATTTGAACCAGGTCTGAGAGTCCTTACTGCACCCCTATATAGTGTTAGCTCTGCCTCCAGGCAGATGGTTTGTGCTGAGTGTCACTTATAAACTGAGGGTTAACCTACCGACCATAGCTTCACCTGAATGTCAACTGAAGTCTGCTGTTACTGCTCAAACATTTTGGAAATTCTTTTGAAATTAAGTCTGTTTGGTTTTTATGCATAAGAAAATCTTCCTCATTAGCTAATAGTTTTATCCCTTTCTTCACCATAAACTCTGTTAGTCACTTTGATTATTTCATTAATTGGGTTTAGCACTGAAAGACTTTAGGGTATTTGTAGAAATCAGGTGTACCTTCCAAAGACAAAAATTTATCCCCGATGAAGGTGCTCAAAAAAATAGGCAATTTCGTAGTGGCTGCACCAGTCTGCATTCCCACCAGCAGTGTACTAGAGTCCCCTTTTCTCCACACCCTTGCCAGTACTTGTTTGATGATTTGTTGATGGCGGCCATTCTGACAGGTGTGAGGTGATACCTCATTGTTGTTTTAATTTGAATCTCTCTGATTAGTGATGTTGAGCATTTCTTCATATGTCTCTTAGCCATTTGTATGTACTGTTTGGAGAGATGTCTATTTAGTTCCTCTGCCCATTTTAATTGGATTATTTGTCTTCCCCTAGTACGCTGCTGGTGGGAATGCAGACTGGTGCAGCCACTATGGAAAACACTATGGTGTTACCTCAAAAAATTAAAAATTGAACTTCCATTTGACCCAGTGATCCCACTTCTAGGAATATACCCTAAGAAGCCTGAAACACCAATCAAAAAGAATATATGTACTCCCATGTTTGTAGCAGCACTATTTACAATAGCTAAGATCTGGAAACAGCCCAAGCGTCCATCAGTAGACGAATGGATAAAAATGCTGTGGTACATTTACACAATGGAGTACTATGCAGCTGTAAGAAAGAAAGATCTCTTATCCTTTGAGACTGCATGGAGAGACCTGGAAAATATCATACTAAGTGAAACAAGCCAAATAGAGAAAGACAAGTATCATATGATCTCACTTATTTGTGGAATATAATGAACATAACAGTCTGAGGAATGGGGTAGTCCCAGAGACGTAGAGGTGGGGTACAGACTGACAATCCCCAGAAGAGGGGGTGGTGGGGGAGAGATAAACCACAGAACTTATGTGCATGTGTGCATGAACAATGGACATGGACAACAAAGCTGGGGACAGGGAAGGGAGGGAGTGGGAGGGGGAATCAGTGGGGGAAAAAGGAGAAACATCTGTAACAAAAATTAATTAATAAAAAAATAAGGCCCTGGCCAGTTTGACTCAGCGGTTAGAGCGTCGGCCTGCGGTCCGGAGAGACCTGGGTTCGGTTCCCGCTAAGGGTACGTACTTCGGTTGCAGTTTGTCCCCGGCCCTGGTTGGTCGTGTGGGTGGCAGCCACTCGATGTGTCCCTTCACGTCGATGTTTCTCTCTCTCTCTCCCTTCCTCTCTCTCCCTCCCACTCTATCTGTATAAAAAATGGAAAAATATCCTCGGGTGAGGATAAAAATAAATAAATAAATAAGTAAAAACTTAGCTGGAAGTCTGAACAATTAAATAGAAAAAAAAATAGGCAACTTCAAAACATACCCCAGATTATTTAAAACAATGGCACATTATTAGAACTAGAATAATTACATGCTTAAAGTCATTGTTTTAAAAGGCACAGCTTCTCCTTAGAGGTGTAAATTTCGGAGGTTGTCAAGTTAGTACCATTATTTAAGTCAGCTAATGTAGCATCCTGAAATGTGACAAGAAAATCCAAACAATTACTGTTCTTTCTGAAAAAAGTTAATGTTTTACAAACTGGCTTAATGTTTAGAAAATGTTTCATTATTGTTTACACATCGGTGTTTTTAAAACCTAAGGTCAGTGAAATTGAACTTGAAAATTGAAAGTACATTTTAGTTAAACTTCAAGACTGCCTCAGAAAGAAATGACTTTTGTCCCAGTGGGCTAGGGACAAACACTTACAGCCTGAGCTGATGAGACCTCGGCAGCCAGCAATGCAGGCGATAGGCTGAGTGGGCCAGACAGAAGTGAATCATGGTGACACTGGTCCTTGAGCACCTGGAACAAAACAAGGAGGGTCCAGACAGTCTCGTTAGAGCCCTCAAACCACTTCACCCATTGTCACCTGCCCTGTGGGGATACAGAGGAAGTACTCTCCCATGGAGAGGGACAGATCCTTGTTTTTTTTTAAAGCCACTCTGGGCTATGATAGGAGCTCACTGTAACTTAAGTCTTCTGTGGCTTTGAGGGTCTAAAGTTTAGTCCGGGCTCAGGTTGGTTGTGTTCACAGTGAATTAAGAGGACTGAGCTAGATATTTGAGACAGGTCATGAATGTGACAAGGGAAAAAGCTTTCTTTAAGCAGAGAGATCAGCTTCCTCAGCCCCTTCCCCAGCCTTTCCCTTGGGGAGCACCTGGGAACCTGAGCTCATCCCCAAGGTCAGGGAGGGGCTTCAACCTCTTTGTTCCATCCTTCCCTGTCCTGTAAGCAGCTCCCTTGGGACCCAGTGCCTCCTGATCTCAGCCTTACTGTTCTTCCAGCTCATAGCGTAGTCTCCCTTGGGGACTGGTACCTGAAACTTGAGATGGGCAAGCCTGGAATCGACACGGGGCTCCAGCTGAACCCAACCCTTCTACCGTGGTCCTTGAGACCATGCTCAGTAGCTGGCAGAATACTCTGATTTCCTTGTGTACCCAGGGTACTGTGGGGATGTTGCTTTTACCCCCACCCCATAATGCCACAAGTACTTTGAGAATTGGGGGTGGGGTGGGAACAAGCCCTAAGTGAACTCTGGTTTCATTCTTGAGATAACTGAAAGGTAGGACATTTAAATCATTCTCACCATTGAACTATTTTTTTAAGTGTTTTTTTATTGATTTTAGAGAGAGAAGAAGGGAGAGGGAGAGAGAGATAGAAACATCAACATCAATAGGCCACCTCCTGCATATTCCCTTCTGGGGATCGAGCCTGAAAACCAGGCATGTGCCCTGACTGGGAATCAAACCAGTGACCTCTTGGTGCATGGGATGATGCTCAACCAACTGAGCCACACTGGCCGGGCTGAAGTCTTTTTTTTTTTTTTTTTTTAAGTTTTTACTTTATTGATTTTAGAGAGAGAGGAAGTGAGAGGGAGAGAAAGAGAAACATCAATGAGAACATCGACTGGCCACCTCCTGCACGCCCCCCACTGGGGATCGGGCCCACAACCTGGGCATGTGTCCTGACCGGGAATCGAACTGGCGACCTCTTAGTGCATGGCTCGACGCTCAACTGCTGAGCCACACCGGCTGTACTGAATCGATTTTTGAATGCCATGTGACCTCTCCCTCCTTTATTTCCTGTCAGTGATTAGCAGTGTCCCTGTGATCCCTACCACTGTGCTTTGTTTGGAGAAGGCCTCAAATATTTATTGAATAAATGTTTCTTATTTTCATTCCCACCTTCTGTACTTAAATTGAAGCACTCAGGATTTTGTAATTGGCTTTCTATCTTGTTTCACCCTTGCAGGATATTTGGTTCTGTCCAAAATGTCCCCAGAGACATTTGGCCTGTGATCCATTACAGAATGCAAACATTGAACCTTGTTCAAGTTGTACGGGCATTATTTTTCTTACTTTTACTGAGAAATCTGGAGATTTCATGTTGATTCTTGCTCTCCATCATCATGAAGTTGGGCAGGGATACTCTGAACTCTAAAAGCAGTTGCTGTCAAATATATATCAACTTGATCATTGGCCCGATATTCCTTATATCTGAATAGTTTCCGTGATACAGATCGATTCTGTTGGTATCGTCTCGATAAGGTTGGTGACCTTATTTGAGGGTGACCACGAAGAAACTGGATGATAACTTGTTCATGGCTCTGTTATTCATCTTTTCACACTTCAAGGATCTTTGGGTGTGGACCAAATGGGGATGTTTTGGACAGGACCGAATGTCCACTAATCATTTTGCCCCTTCCAATCCATCTTACAGCATCACCGTAATCAATGTTATCCCTTTCCTCACAAGTAACAGCTATCATTTATCTTAACACTGTGCCAAGCAATATGTTAAGTGCTTTGCCATGTGTCACCCTCAAAATCACGCCTCATAATAACAGAAGTCGCAAAGAGTGAGAAGGATATCCCCATCCTTTATGGTAGGAGCTGCAAATTCACCCTGAAAAGGAAGGGTGGGGAAACGGGGCCATTTTTGCACCTCATTTAGCACAGTCATTGAAGCCAGATATTTTAACGCATCTATTTGGAATGAGAACACAGAAGGATGTCAGAAGGCCTATAACTGGTGTTCTTTTTCCTTTGTAGACCACAAGGGAGGCATCAGACTGTTCCACTTAGATCAACAACTTCAGGTTCTTAACATGGAAAATTCAGAGAAAACAGAAGTGGTTCTCCTTGCCTGTGGTTCCTTTAACCCTGTCACCAACATGCACCTCCGGTTGTTTGAGCTGGCCAGGGACTACGTGAACAGAACAGGTAGGAACAGTAGCCAAAAGCAATGATGGGGTTCAGAACACACTATCCCCAAGTATGGCCCTGTGGCACAGTGAATATTTTAAACTGAAGGAGTTTGAGAAACTTGCACAATCAGGAAGGTCACTCTGACCTCCTCCCCACCTTTTCCCCCTGAATACGGTCACAAAACCCTATGTAAGAGGTTTCCTCCCTATACCCAGAGGAAAGGAGCATCGTTATCTCTGAAAACAAAGGGATACCAAGAAGAATCTGAATACATGGGCCTCAATAAGTTTTCCTGAATTTACAACATTTACCTTATGCTCTTCACCCTGTTTTGTTCTCTACTACTGTCTACTCTTCATCAAACCTAGCATTAAAATACTCAGCTTTGCCCTGGCCAAATTGGTTCAGCGGTTGGAGCATCGGCCCACGGTCCAGAGAGACCTGGGTTTGGTTCCAGCTAAGGACACGTGCCTCGGTTGCAGTTTGTCCCCGGCCCTGGTTGGGGTCTTGTGGGTGGCGACCACTCGATGTGTCTCTCTCACGTCGATGTTTCTCTCTTCCTCTTCCTCCCTCTACCCCTACCGCTCTATCTGAAGATAAATGGAAAAATGTCCTCGGGTGAGGATAAAAAAAATAATAATAATAATCAGCTTTGCTCTGGTTGGTTTGGCTCAGCAGTTAGAGCATCAGCCCTCAGGCCCAAGGTTTGTGGGTTTGATTCTGTGTAAAGGGCACATACTTGGGTTGCAAGTTGGATCCTCAGCTGTGGTCGGGTCACTTGGGAGGCAGCAAATCAGTGTGTCTCTCTCACATCATTGTTTCTTTCTCTCCCTCCTTCCCTTCCATTCTATCTAAAAATCAATGGAAAAATATCCTCGGGTGAGGATTAACCCCGCCCAAAAATAAATTCAGCTTTAACTGTTTCATGGGGTGGTCCTTTCCTTATGAAGGTTCCCATGTCATGTAAACCTTACATTAAGTAAATGTATGTGCTTTCCTCCTGTCAATCTGTCTTTCTCAGTTTAATTTTCAGACCCAGCCAGGGACCCTAAGAGGGTCAAGGAAAACTTTTTCCTTCCCTACATAGACAAGATTTATTTTGTTACGTAAATGATCATGCTGTATGCTGACAGATGGGTGGGTGCTCATACTCACTAATAATCAGGAAACTAAAATTTTAAATGAGATATATTTTTTCCGGTCACATGGACAAAACTTTTTAAACTTCATAGCATCAAGTATCAGAGACTGGGGAGAAATGGACTCTTTTTACCCTCTAGGTGGACAACACAACTCTATTAAGGTGTTTTACAAGGCAGTTCTAGGTTATGTCTATTTTACGACCATTACAAATGAATAAATGAATCTGCATCCCTGTTTTTAAAAAAAGAAAGAATCTTTCATTATAAAATCATATTGATGACAGCATTTTCTGGGCATAAAATCTAATTTGTTATACCTCACGTCAAACCTAACTCTTTATCCAGGAAAATACAAAGTTATCAAAGGCATAATTTCTCCTGTTGGCGATGCATATAAGAAGAAAGGACTCATCTCTGCCCATCACCGAGTTGTCATGGCACAGCTTGCCACCAAGAACTCCAGCTGGGTGGAGGTGGACACCTGGGAAAGTCTGCAGAAGGAGTGGATGGAGACTGCTAAGGTGCTAAGGTGTGTATGGGGAAGTCAGCTCTGCCAGTTCTCTGGGAATGGGGTGGGGCTTTCTTGGCATTTCCCACGGTTCAGTGCTGCCTGTGTCTGTGAGCATACAGTTTACAAAACTGTCACTAGGGTTGGCAAGGCCGAGGCTGTGCGTTTCTGTGTCAGGTTGTCACAGTCGTGGAGCACAGAAACAGGCAGCATGTTCTTTTGTGTCTTTCATTGAGATGTCTGCATGCTGGTCACTTGTATAGCTCACCTGCCTGGCCTGTCTGTGCCCCAAGTGAGAAAGGCAACGGTGTAAGATGACGTCATTGTCATCAGTCTTCTTAGGTATGAAAGAGGCAGTAATTGAAGGGAGGGGAGCCGTGATGCTTGTCATGGACAGAGTGTCTTTGTGCGCTGCTTCCATCACAGCAGATGGGCTTGTCACCTCTCTGCTTCTACCTTTGAGACAGTTCCAGTTAAGGATTCAGAAACCAGAGTAACATCTAGTTACTACTCCATGTGATCTTGAGTATAAACTAGAAGGACTTTTTGAAACCCTTTCTGTCGAACGTCCATCCTTAGGGTTCTGAGCCTTCCAGTTCTGACCGTATCGATTAGGGTTCAGACAGGAACTAGAAACTCTGAGCGTTTAAGCAGAAAGGGACATAGGTGCTTAGGCAAAAGTGTTAAAAGGGCTGGAGGAGTGGGAGTCAGAGCTTGTTCAAGGTCAGACCTCCTTCGCTACATTCGGAGTTCAGGAAATGCACTGTTCCTGCCTCTGTCACCTACTGTTGAACTGTCCCTGTCTCCTGAAGTGGTGGCTGGACAATGGAATATAGAGTCTGGCCACCACGTTCATGCTGTAATGTTACTTATCCGTCTTCACAGCTGCAAGAAGATGGCCTCTCTCTCTCTTCTTCCTTCCAAATCTCTAACAAGTGAATCTCACGGCAGAGTCTCCGTCATATGCAGGACCTGCTGCGAGGACCCTGGGGACTGTGTTGAGGGTGGAATTGGACACTGAGCGGCAGATGCTGTCTAGCACAGCAGCTTACCAGACTCCAGCTTCTGCGTCCCCACCTGACTCAACCCCTTGGGCCTCTAGTAACCTATTGTCCATTACATTTTCAACTCAGGAATTCAAGAGGGAGGGGATTTGGGGATACAAAGCACCCAGAGTTTGCTCCACAAGTGTAGCTCATGTTACTTAAATAACTTTGGGCAGTTGTAAATCACTGGGCCCTTGCTGCCTGTCGAGAATCAAGCCACATACAGATGCTGGCTGCGGGCCCTTCCTTTAGCTTCAGGCTCTTGCCCTCTCCAGGACCTTCTCTGTGGCACTGTGGTTCTCCACTAGGTCAGGCCCACTCTTCAGTCTGAAACCAGACTGCCAAGGTTTCAAATCCCGACTCTGCTGCTTAGAAACTAAATAACCTTGGGCAAATTACTCAGTGTCCTCTCTCAGTGGGGATAATAGACAGCTCTGATATAATGGTGGCAGTAATATAGTTGCTTTATAATAGCGCAGACATTCACTCAGTGAAGCTGTTACTGAGTGCTCCTGTGTCCCAGGGCCTCTGCTGGGAACTGGAGTTGGAACTCTCAGCTGTCCCCTCCATTGTGGAAATGACAAGACGATAGGGCAGATTTTGTGGTGGTGGTTGTTAATCCTTACATGAGGATATTCTTCCATTGATTTTTAGATAGAGTGGAAGGGAGAGAGAAAGAGAAACATTTATGCAAGAGAAACACATCTGTTGGTTGCCTCCCAAACAACTCCAGCCAGGGCTGGGGATCAAACCCGAGACCCTTTGGTTCACAGGTTGATACTCTAACTGCTGAGCCAAAGCAGCCAGGGCTAGAATAGAATTTATAGAATAATAATTATTTTAAAAGTTTTTATTGATTTTAGACAGAGGAAGGGATAGAGAGAGAAAGAGACAGAGAAATATCAATGCTAGAGAGAAACATCGATCAGTTGCCTCCGACACTCACCCTGACTAGGGATCCAACCTACAACCAGAGTATGTGCCCTGTCTGGGAATCGAACCCACCACCTTTTGGTGTATGGATGATGCTCCAACCAACTGAGCCACACCAGCCAGGGCTAAAATAATAATAATAATAATAATAATAATAATAATAATTTATTATTATTTATGACATGGGGTGTTGAGAACATTTAACCAAATAATCCAAGCAAAGGGTTTAGTGTAGTGCTTTGCACATAAATAATGTTAACTCCTATTGCTGTGACCCAGACACATAAAGCCTAGGATAAAACAACTACCATGTTGTGCTCCCAGGATTTTCCTTGCTTTCCATTCCCTATGTCCAGGACCCAGGGCCTCAGTGCCCTGGCCAGCATCCATTCTGACTGTCTGGGTACCGAGTGTACCAGCAGTTAAATGTTTTCAACACCACCCACCTTTAACCCTGCATTAGAGGCTCTTGGGCATCTGCAGAGGGACAGTGTTTCAGCTGAGCATTGTGAGAAAGAGGAACGCTCTCTTGCTTTGCTCTTTTCTAGACACCATCAAGAGAAGCTGGAGGCTAGCAGCTGTGATCACCAGCCAGACTCCCCTGTGCTGGAAATGCCCGGACGGAAGAGGAAGTGGGCTGAACACAGATCAGAATTTAGTCAGGAGAGATCCCCAGAGCCAAAAAGAAAAGGTCTGCATGCTTTACCAGGATTGCCGACTGGAGCTGATGAGATTCTAGAGCTGAGCAAGCCCCTTTCTATGTTCATTTTTCATTCAGTACATGTGGGCGCCTGGAAAGTGCCCCTTGTACATTTGCTGACGGGGGGGGGGGGTGCGTCCTGGCTCATTTCCTCTGCACTGTCCCTTAACCTTAACCTGTGAGTGTCCCAGGTCTCTTCTGAGAATCTGAATCTGATGAAAACTATGAACCTTATTCCCAGAAAAGTATCTCCACACATTCATTTTGACACAGGGAATTATTAAAAAGCAAAACCTGAAGCAGTGTTTTCTTCTCCCCAGCCGTGCCGAAGGTCAAGCTGCTGTGTGGGGCAGACCTGCTGGAGTCCTTCGGTGTTCCCAACCTGTGGAAGAGTGAGGACATCGCCAAAATTGTGGGAGACTATGGGCTCATATGTATTACCCGGGCTGGAAGCGATGCTCAGAAATTCATCTATGAATCCGATGTGCTGTGGCAACACCAGGCCAACATCCACCTGGTCAACGAATGGATCACCAATGACATCTCGTCCACCAAGATCCGGAGAGCCCTCCGGAGGGGCCAGAGCATCCGCTACTTGGTGCCAGATCTTGTCCAAGAATATATCGAAAAGCATAACTTGTATAGCTCTGAGAGTGAAGAGAGAAATGTTGGGGTTATCCTGGCTCCTTTGCAGAGATACGTCGTAGACACTAACTCAAATACTACAGCATGAAACTTTGGACTTCCCTTTGGGAATCTGAAACAGTCTGGGTGTTAGCAACTGGGAAAAGGAATCGTGATCCTGTTTCATAAACTAAAGTTAAAAGTTTGGTAAAAATCAGTAATAAATTAAAATCAGATTTATTTCTTTTTCTTTGCATCAGAAGTTGCGAAGATGAATGTCTTCAGCATTACGATCCTTTTTAGAATGTACAAATCCTTTTATCGTTGAAACGAGATGAGCAGCACTAAAGCCAGAAGTCAAAAGGGACATCTGGCTTCCCCACATAAGAGAAGCAAAGTATGAAAAGCCAGAGTTTGTTCAAAGTTCTAACTTTAGTCATGAAGGGAACTAACATGTATGCATGTCCATTTCTGGGCCGTCTTCACCCTTGGTGGCCAAAGAAGTCATTCTTAAAATTGCCATCTTGCAAAAGGCACCACCAGTCAGTCGTTTCCAGCTGTGCCGACGGGCTGGGAATGTGTCAGGCAGAAGCTCTGGGCCCGTAGTTCATTCTCTCTGGCACACGTCAGAATGGCTGGGTAAGCTTTGCCAAGACACACCTGCCCAGAGCTCCACCGTTGGAGGTGAGTGGGGCCAAACCCTGGAAAGGCACACAGTGCCCACCAGAGGTAGAGAGCCTCTGCCTCACGTGTTTGACACGTTTTCTTGGCACAGCCCTGTTGTAGCTCATGGTCTAACCCTGGCCGTCGGCCATCCCTTTGTACAATGCAATTGTACAGTCAGATCTGAATCCACAGTTCACAAAAGGACAAGTTCAGGAACAACTGCAGAGATGACATCACACGACCTAGGACAGCGAGAAACACAGAGAATGGGGCATCTTATACAAAAATGTTATTAAGTGTCTGTGCCCTAAGCTTTTATTGATATCTTAACAATTAAAAGACGAACGGAGACCCTAAAAACATGAGAAATGCCCCAGCGGGTGACCAGCAGTTTCAGCTCAGGATGGGGGCACTGATGAGTGGCATGAGGAGGCTGTCATCTCCGTCTGAAACTCGAGTCTGAAGGGCCCTGCCGTTTCTGTTCCAGCCCACTGTGAATCTGCCTTTGTGAACTTAAGCAGAAAAAGAGTGGGTATTTTTACACTTTTTCTATTTTTGTCTTTTGATACAGACTTTAACCAAAGTAGAACTCCCAAATAATAAAGTCATAGTTTTATATTAAAAGTACAAGCTTGTTATATGATCTGATACGGATTGAAATTTTGTGGAAGTTTTACCAATTGGTAAAGCAAAAAGACCACAGATAGTTTTTTTTATTCCTCACCTGAGGATATTTTTCCATTTATCCTCAGATAAAGTGGGAGAGAAGGGGGGAGAGAGAGAGAGAGAGAGAGAGAGAGAGAGAGAGAAACATTGATGTGAGAGAGAAACATCGATAGTTTGCCTCCTGCACGACCCTGACCAGGGCTGGAGACTGAACCACAACCAAGGTATGTGCCCTTGACTGGAATAGAACCCAAGACTCTTTGGTCCAAGGGCTCTAACCAATGAGCCAAACCGGCCAGGGCCAGAAATAGTTTTTTATAGAATAGTTTTATGGTTTATGAAAATTGTTCCATTATAAAAACAGGACTAAAGTTATATTTCTAATGAAAATAGAATACCTTTTGCAATTTATATTTCACACCTATACCACTCTAGATGAAAGTATTTATAATTGCAAAAGAAAAAACACTTATAACTGTGCAATTGTATAGTCAGCTCTGAATTCACAGTTTACTAAAGGACAATGTAAATTAAGTGACCAAATGTACTACCTTCAGCTCCTGACATTATTACTAATGCCAGCAGGTGGACTTCTCGAAGATGGGAGGCATGCAAAGTCGGGCACCCAGTAGTTTTTCTCTATCTGCTGAATGAGTGAAAAGTTAGAATCTCAAATAGAAAACAGGGTCATTCTTTTCCCTCCTTAGCTGTGTGTAAAGAGTTGGAGCAGTACAGGCCCACAAGACACACCATAATTAAAATGTAAAAGCTTAAAGATAAAGAGAATCTTGCCCAGCTGGTGTGGCTCAGTAATTGAGCGATGTCCCATGGACTGAGAGGTCCCCATTCAATTCCCCATCAAGGCATATACCCTGGTTGCAGGCTTGATCCCCAGTAGGGATCATGCAGGAGGCAGCCAACAGATGCTCTATTTCTCCCTTCCTCTCTTTCCAAAATATCAATAAAACATTAAAAAAAAAAGGACAGAATCTTAAAAGCAGCAAGAGAAAAGCAGTTACCTACAAAGGAGCGCCCAGAAGACTTTCAGCTGATTTCTCAACAGAAACTTTGCAGGCCAGAGGGATTGGCAAGAAACACACAAAGTGATGAAAAGCAAGAACCTACAACCAAGATTACTCTCCCCAGCAAAGATATCATTTAGAATTAAAGGACAGATAAAAAGCTTCCCAGACAAGAAAAAGCTACATCACCACCAAATGTACATGAAATGTTAAATGGTCTCTTTTAAGAAGAAGAAAAAATGGTAAAAAATATGAACAATAAAATGGCAATAAATACATATCTATCAATAATTGAATCTAAAAAACAAAATAAATGAACAAGCAGAACAGAAACAGACTCATAGATACAGAGAACATTTTGACAGTTGCCAGATGGGAGGGTGTTGGGGAGATGGGTGAAAAAGGGGAAGGATTAAGAACTACAAATTGGTTGTTACACAATAGTCATGTAAAGTACAGCATAGGAATATAATCAACAATATTCTTTTTTTCCCCAAAGGTTTTTGTTTGTTTTATTTAAAAAAAAATTTTTTTAATCCTCACTCAAGGATATTTTTCCATTGATTTTCAGAAAGAATGGGGGGCAGGAAGAGAGAGAAAAAAGAGACATCGATGTGAGAAAGACACATTGATTGGTTGCCTCCCACATGACCCCAGCCAGGGCCAGGGATCAAACCACAACTGATGCATGTGCCCTTTATCGAAATCAAACCCTCAACCCTTTGGTCTGCAGGCTGACGCTCTAACTGCTGAGCCAAACCAGCCAGGGCTATAATCAATAATATTCTAATAACTATGGTGTCAGATGGGTGTGAGATTTTTCGAGATGATCACTTGGGAAGTTACGTAATGTCAAATCACTGGGGTGTACACCTGAAACTAATATAATTATGTCAAGTGTAATTGAAAAATTAAAAAATGATTAAAAAGAGTTGGAGCAATACTGAGAAATAACTATCTAGAAGCAGATGAAGCTATCAAAATTTACCTTTGATTTCTTCTCCTAGAAAACTACAATTAGTTTATCTGAAATATTGTGTGAGCTGCAGAAAGGTTCCAATGGTAGAAATCTTTCTCATACTCTGTTGCCTCCTTACCTAGAAGTGCCCACTCCCTACCCAGCTGTGAGTATATTGACCTCAGCCCCATTGGGTAAGGCATGTGGGGACCCTCCCAGGAGAGCTGGTGGTGGTGGAATGGTCCTTTGTTGTACTATTTATGGATCGACAACTTTGTACATTGAATGAGCTGCTTGGCTTTTCGTCCCACTACCAAGGATGCTGTTAATGCCACAGCGTAATAGCACAGTTCTGGGTATTTTCAAGGACAGAACTTCCTCTTTGGACAATGGATATTAGAATAATGAACTTCACAGGAGAATAAATACTGATAAATGTTGTGACCTCTGTGGAGGAAGAAGAAATTATGCCATTGTTCATTCTGTACCATGCCTTTCTCATAATCTGCGTTTGTAAAGAGAGTTGGGGAAACGTGTAAAGCTGGTGTTTTGTTTGGCCGATGCTGGTGGAGTTACGGGTTGTGCTCCTTTACCCCTCGCATGGTGTGATTTAGACGCCGCAGACCTTCAGTGAGCCCTTTCCTGGCAGCTTCGCTCAGTTGAACGTCGTACAGCACATAAAGAAATGTTTTCCTGTTGTTTACCTGCTTAGTGGACAACTGGGAACAGCGAACCTGTTCGATGGGAGGAGTGTGCCCTTCCACCATGTGGGGATACAGCCAGTAGTCTGCAACCCCCAGAGAGGGCTCTCACCTGGCCATGCTGGCCCCTTCATGTCGGATTTCCAGCTTCCAGAACTTCGTATCCCCTTGTGATCAGGTACAATGTAGAAAAGCCTAGACCAGTCCCCTTAGCCAAGGGAATTAAGAGAAGGGATATTGTAGGTAACATAAAGGAACATGCTCAGCTGAAGCTGCATTTTGTGCATTTGTATTATTAATTATTTGGGGGCATATAATATTCCTAACAAAAGAATAAAGTCACACATTATGGAAACAAACAAACAAAAAGGAGTGGGTTTTCCTTGGTGATCAGGGTATAGAGACTGAACCAAAAGGATGATTTAGGAGTTCACACTTGCACAGCAAAAGAAGAGGAAAAGGGACCCAGATGCTCATGCGAGTCCCTGATGCCAGTGTGCAGGAAGACTGCCTGTGAGACAGCCAAAGAGGCTTCTCTCGGCCTGGGAGGCGGGGCCTAGTGCCAGGCATGCCAGTGGGTGATTGCAGAGGGAGTCACTTGACTCTCCCTTTCTCTAAAATCATGCAGCGATGTCCAGCCTGTGTGGCTCAGTGGTTGAGCCTCAACCCATGCACCAGGAGGTCGCCGGTTTGATTCCCGGTTGGGACACCTGCCCAGGTTGTGGCCCCGATCCCCATTGGGAGGGCGTGCAGGAGGCAGCCAATCGATGTTCTCTCTCAGCGATGTTTCTGTCTCTCCCTCTCACTTCCCCTCTCTAAAATCAATAAAGAAAAAAATTTTTTTTAATAAAATAAAATACTTCAACGATCTCTGAGGCCCCTTCCAGCTCTGAAATGTCGACTTGCTGGAGGGTTGGCCCTCACACTGGCTTCTCATCACCCTGAGCTGCCACCTGTCCCTTCCCTTCTGTGTGACCCGGAAGTACGTGTTGGGACACTATCACAAAGTGAAGTGCCAAGGGGGGGCACAGGTACGGGGAGGCAGGCTCTGGGGCGGGGCTGCGGACAGCGAGGTGGGGAGAAAAAAGTGCTGCTGTCTGCGCATCAGCAAGGGGCCCCCCAGGCCCGCTCCTGACGGCTTCCCGAAGAGGAGCCC